GAAGCTTCCTCGCTGGGGTCGCGGCATGGGCGCGGCTGGGCAAGCGACATCAATGCCCGAATCGCTACGTCGGCAACCTTGCCTGCCGACGTGCAGTTGCCGCGCTGGGCTTACATGCCATCGATCTCAGCACTCGGCATCAGCGCCCCATGCGGATCTAGCTCCACGTGGCCACCGCAGTCGGCGCTGGTAGCCGCGGCCGCGTCACCACTGATGCGGGAATCACCCGACGATCTGGCTCTCTTCAGTCAGCGCGCCCCCATTGACGTGAGCCTGCCATCTGGGGGAGTGGCCGCGCCTTTCGCCAGCCGCGACACCTGGATGTCGACGCTTTGGCGAGCTCCGCGGCGCCCAGCCCGCACTTGGGCTCTTGCGACAACAGGGCGAGCAGCGACATCGAACCGCGCAGAGTTGGACAGAACCCCCTAAAGGGGATGTCATATCTGCGTCGAGGCCTTTGTACATGGCCATCAATTTGCACGCCTACAGTGCCGTTGCATCTTGCGCCAGGCATGCCACCTACAGCTCGTGCAGAACACCGACGCACGCCTTGCGCACTGCCCGGCGTGCCGCGGCCTGGCTGACGTCATCGCCGAGTTCTGCTTCATTGGCGAAGGTCTTGCTGCAGCGGGTCCAGACTGCGTTGCCCGCTCGTGCGGCCGATCCTGGCACCCTGGACCTGGCGCCCGCGGCGCCGGGCTGGAGGGTGCCGGGCGACGGCGTGCCCGAGGGGACAGCGCCGCAGCAGGGCGCAGCCCAGACTCTTCGGCCCGCGCTGACACCCGGGACACCACGGCAGGATATGATGCGGTCTTTTGGCAGTGCTTCCAGTTTTGTGTCCGCTGCCGACTTGGCAGTGCCGTTCGACGCCCGCGTGGGCCTGCGCACTCACCATTCCGACCGACGCTCTTGCGGTGGCCAACCTTGCCAGGTACAGGCTGGAATCCACCGACCGACTCCACGGCCAGCGCCGACCTTCCAGGCGGTTGGCTCGGCGTCGCTGTAGACGCCGGCCGCCCAGGCCAGCCGCTAGGGCAGCGCTTCGCTATGAACCTGGACGACGAAGCCACGAAGGCGAGCCTCCAGCCTGCAGTGGAACGGCTGACTTCTCTGGTCGCCACCCGTGATGGCGCGACCACCCGGCGCAGCATGCCCTCGCTTGCAGTGGCGGACAATGGTTTCGATCTCGCTGCCTTTCTGGGTCTGCAATCCACGTCGTCCAAAAGCGGGGTTGCGGAAACAGGCGCTGCGCGCGAACGTCTCGCGTTTCCCGGCCGTCGAGGCAACGATATCAACTGGGGCCCAGGCACCGCGCACTTCTACCTAGAGTCAGCTCCAAGCGGGAACCCATGTATGCCAGTCCGCGGCTCTGGGGGTTTTGGTCACACTGGCGCGACGCACCTCAGCTACGACCTCCTTTTTCAGGAATCCGGCGTTGCAGTGCCAACAGGGTCTGAAGTAACTGCTTTGTCGAAGATCCCACGCAGCCGCTTAACAAGGGGGAGGGCGGGTCAGCCCGCGCGGCTGGTCCAGCCGGCCTGCCCCAGAAGAAGTGAGCAGCAGGGCCAGGTCGCCCCGCCTTGGTACTGGAGAGAGGAAGGGACACATATCACTAGCGTTGCAGGAGTGCGGCTACGACGTCATGCGCACCACATCCTACGCGACAGTCATTAGCTCCTCGTCCGACGACACAGTTTCCAGCACAAGCTATCAAATAAGTGGATCATGTGCGACACGAACCGGGATGGAGCGCAATCTATTTTCGAATCCCTCCCCAATTGTTGCGCCTGGTCAAGGACTCCAGCGCCAGGGTCGTGATTTCCAAATTCAACGGGCCTCAGTGGCGACGCGCAGACATAAAACAACTCACTGACATCAACGTGTTATACTACAGCAGGAATCGAGCTTGCCACAAGACTCACTCCAGAGGCCAAGCATTGTGGCATATCTTTCAAGACGCTCACCAGAGCACCTATTCCCAACCAGTTTGCGCCGCTGCGACACCACGTTAGCGGAGCACCATAACTACTGGACGATTATGAAGAGACATGCCTGTCTGGGCTTGATGTGCCGCGACGCGTTGCGTTGTGCGCCCTGCTGTCGTTATGCTTGAACGACCAGCAGCGCACCTCGGGAGGTGCACCTTCGGCGAGGCACAGCAGCGGCTTCAGCGCCAGACTCGAACACTGCTTCCTGCCTCCACGGCGACTGGCAAGCACGTCGCCGGGCAGCGTGCCAAACATCAGAACGCCAAGAAACGCACGCGGGACAACATACTACGAACACGCCGCACACTGCAGTTGCAGGGCGATCTGAACGGTCAACCAAGGGGGCCTCGAGCAATGATGTCGCCAGTGCCCGCTGTCCGCAACCAGAGAGCGAAGATACGTGCCCAAAACACGTAAGCAGGCCGTAGAGGACCACTGCGACGACTGCGGCGTCGAAATCGCTGGTCTCGCCCCTCAGTTCTTGGGACCCCCACGCGACAAGTTCAGGTCCGAAACTGACCGATACCCCCCACCGCGCCCCCACCACGACGAGTAAAATTAGTACTACGAATACGAATGCGAATGCGATAATCATAATCACACGAATACGAGTGATAATGCGACCCGTGAGAGTATGCATGGCCGATAAAGAAGGGAACTAAACGTAATAATGCTAATAATATTGATAAACATATTACTTGGAAGGAAAAGGGGAAGAGGAGGAGGACAAGGAGGACAAGGAGGACAAGGAATGAAGATGAGGAGGAGGAGGAGGAGGAAGAGGAGCAAGGGAGGAGGAGAAGGAGGAGGTGGAGGAGGAGCAGGAGGGAGGCGAGCAGGAAGAAGAGGAGGAGGAGGAGGAGGAGTAGCAGCAGGGAGGGGAGGATGGAGAGGTAGGATAGGAGGAGGGAGGAGGAGGAGGAGAGGAGGAGGAGGAAGGACAGAGGAGAGGAGGAGGAGGAGGAGAGGAGGAGAGGAGGAGGGGGAGGAGGAAGAGGAGGAGGAGGAGGGAGGAGGAGGAGGAGGAGGAGGAGGAGGAGGAGGAAGCGAGGGTTAGGAAATGAAGGGGGAGGGGAGCAGGGGATGGGGGACCAGGAGGAAGATGGATGAGGATGAGGATAAGGATGATGCTGAGGAGGGGGAAAAGGATGAGGAGGAGGAGGAGGAAGAAGATAAGTGGGAAGTGGGGAGGAGGAGGCGTTGGGAGGACTATGAGGAAGATGTTTGCACTCACCCGCGCTAGTACAACACACAGGCCATCTCAACACCCTGCTGTTGTTATTGCGACCATTGAAAGGAAAGCGAAGGTTTTCGTAGAAGGTCCGATCTTCAGCTACAGGATTCTCGGACAGTTGTCGAAGGGCTGGGTGCCCGATACGGACACATTACAATTCCTATTGGTCCTCTTCCTCCTCTTCCTGTCCTCACCCTGTTCTAGTTGCTCAGTGCCGTGGTCACGTGCGTTTGTGTGTGCGCTCACGCAGAAAGGCGGACGCATATTGATACCTACGCGATCTCGTGGGTCGTCCAACTCCTTCCACGCAGGGGGTCTTTTGTGCAGGCGTTCCGCCGGCGGCACGTCAGCGCACGCGCTCGCCGAAAGACTTGGGGGGGTGACGCCCCCGCGCGGCCCAGTTCCTTCGACGTCGGGGGTGCACGCGCGCAGGCATCCGACCGGCGGTGCGTCACCGAAGCCAGTCGTCGGAGGATCGGGGAGGGACGCCCCCGCGCAGCCGAGCTCCCCTGACAGCCAGGGTGCGCTTGCGCAGGCGACCTGCTGGCGTCGTGTCACGATACAGGTTCGTCGGAGGATCGGGGTGGAAGGTCCCCGCGCAGCCGAGCTCCCCCAACGGCCAACGACGGGGGCTTGCAGGTGCAGGAGTGCGCAACGCCTGCACTGCGCACCCCTCCTGCCCAACCCGACAAGAAAAGCGAGTTACGATTAAGCGCCGGATGTCACCTCGATGATCATTTGTACATGTATGTTCTGCGCTCTTTCCCCTGCTCCCGAGGCTATCATGCCAGCACGGAGTAATGGGGGAGTGAGGTGGCGAGATGGCCCCTCTTCCCACGGTGGATCGAGTGGCTAACGTTCCCCTTGATGCTGGGGCCAAGCATTCGTTACGCAAAACCATATGGTCCTGTCCATAGGGTGAAACCATAGGAGCGTTGATCAGCAAGAGGACAGGGGCGAAGAAGGCAGCTTGGAGCTCGGAACTACTATACTAACGAGTGACCATAGTTGCGCGCCGAAAGAGAAAACACATCGTCACAACCCATCGGGCCAGGGTTCCGAGTCAGGCTCCGCTCCAGACTTGGGATACTTTGGGCGATTTGCGACCATGCATGACCACTGCCGGGGTCGCTGGTATCAGACTTGCGCGTATGGCAGACGAAGAGGATGCCCTCCGCAGTAGTCTCTAAAGCACATTAATGTTGATCCTCGTGCAGCGACTCGCCCTTCATGGTATAGGGCTCTATTGCACCTGCCCGAGACAGCTTTCACCACACTGCGCAAGGACCTCCAACTGAAAGCACACAGCCGTAACCTTCCTTCCCTGTGCCAATCGTGAGAAGACCCCAGAGTGAGTGTTCGGAGGGCGGAGGCATAAGTCGGATGAGGAAACAGGACGACGCGCAAGAGCAGGAGCAGACGTAGAACATTGATGATGATTGATTCGCACCATTAGGAACAGAGAAGGAGAATATGGGGGAGGACGAAGCAAGGAGGAAGAAGGGAGGAAGAAGGGAGGAGGAAGAGGAGGAGGAGGAGGAGGAGGAGAAGCAGATGCGGGACGAAGAGGAGGTTGATTATCCTCAGCAGGTGTACCAGGAACATGAGGAGACGCAGGAGCAGGAACAGGAGAAGAGATGAGCAAGCTTGCCTCGACGTCGATCCCTGGAGTCCAGGCCTCTGTGAGGGATCTGCGGTGGCCTCCGACGGGCCGCAGATATTCCGGGATGCTGCAGCCGAAGTTCCTTCAAGGTCCTGCTGCTTCCGTCCTCCGCCGCAGTCGCTTCGGCCCAAGCCCAGGACAGAGCGAACCCCGCCGACGAGCGCGAGGGAGCCATGGGCGACAGTGCCTCGAGGAGCTTTCAGGCCTGCTGCGACCCCGAGGGCACTGCGAACATCGTGCGCAAGAAGAAGGCGCAGCGGGCCTGCCTCAACAGGTACCAGGTCAGCATCGTTGAAGCGATCCCAACGTCCATCCCCTTCGGGACCCCCACCAAATGACCCCCCCAGTTGGGGGATACACCCCTCGAAACCCGAAGGGAACGACCTATATCCCCGTCAAGGGGGGTAAATCGGCCAGTGGGGCCCATGCCACGCCGCTGGGGATGGGGATCGGTTAAACGATGCTCACCAGGAGATCCTGAACCAGCTGGAGCAGGCCCTCCAGGGCTCGGACCGCGGCTGGGCGCTCACGGGCGACGAGCATACTATCCATGTCCATGCCCTCGCCGTCTGGGTTAGCCTCGCGGCGAGATCCCATGGATGCGCGATACCGTTGGCACGTTCCGCGCGAGGCATCCGCGCAAAGCCGTCCCACGTCCATGGGGTCGCGGCCGGTGGGTCCAGACCGCGAGACCCTGGATACGGATAGGGGAGGTTGTTGGGGAGTCTGCGGGCATCCCGCTCTCTGTGGGCCACCGTGTGTCCGTGTGATGGCATTCCGTGGTCGGAGAGGGTGAGAGGTTTGCGCGGCCGCCCCCCTCGTTTTTCGTTTGAAAGAGGGGGCAATGGTCAGAGCGGACGCCATTGCTATCGTGGCCGATGTGCCACCTCGCTCGCCCTGGGAGACCTGTCCACAGAGGCGCTAGTTCGTTCGTTCGTTCGGATACGGATATGGCTCCCGCCCACGAGGTACGGGACACCGTGCAGGACCTGACTAAGTACGACCGGGAGGTGCAGGCGAAAGGAGAGGGACAGTTCTGGCCGGAGTTGCAGGAGCACAAGGACTACCCCCCGATCGACGAGCTGCGGAGCCGCCTCTTGGCTCAGGCGAGGGCGCTGGATCCTGGGGCCGCCTGACGCGGAGGAGTCGGGGGAGTCGGGGCGCACGTACCAAGAATTTGCATTGCGGTGGGGGCGTTCGTGAAGGAATGTGCCCAGGAGGCTGCAGACCCTGGAGGATTCCTCATCTGATGAGGGCGGCGGTGGTGATATCTATGGCTGATACCCATGGCTTCCAGACCCTGCATTCTTTATCTAAGGGTTCCTTGTGCAGGGCCCTCACCACATCACGGGGTTCAGCGCCCCGACCCACTTCCTTCCCTCCGCTGGCCCAGGCCTGGCAACTGCTTCGTGGCTGGCCGCGGCGGCTCATGACATGGCCCTGGCCCTGGCCCTCGTCCTCCTCCTCCTCCTCCTCCTCCTCCTCCTCCTCCTCCCTCTCCTCCTCCTCCTCCTCCTCCTCCTCCTCCTCCTCCTCCTCCTCCTCCTCCTCCTCCTCCTCCTCCTCCTCCTCCTCCTCCTCCTCCTCTCCTCCTCCTCCTCCTCCTCCTCCTCCTCCTCCTCCTCCTCCTCCTCCTCCTCCTCCTCCTCCTCCTCCTCCTCCTCCTCCTCCTCTCCGGCTGCCAGCGCTGACCCGGTTCGCCCCCCGAGGATGTGGGTTTCTCCTTCGGGCTGGTGGAGCTCCTCCACTCGGCGGTGCGCAAGATTGGGCTGGGCGGCGGGGGCGGCCTTC